TCAATTAACAATTAATTTCTTTGGAATTATAAGTTAGTTTTCCACCAAGATAGCCTCTTATGTTATCACATGGCGCAGCCAGCAGGATTCTCAGTTCAGGACAATCGCACTGATAAGTGAATACCAGTATTTTGGGCTTCAGCGAGCCTAAACCCAATGTGAAAACTTAAAATTTGGTTAGCAATTTCTATTGGCCTTCACGGTCAAAGAAAAGATCAATCCAGAAACTATGCTTGAAGAGCCTAGAGAAACACAAGAAATACTGGAATATCCGCCCCGAAGACCAGAAACACCGAGAGATGGGGAAGACGCAACTGCAAGAGCAGCAAAAGATCTTAGAGATAAATTAGCGAAAGACGAAGAGACACTCGAGAACGAAGAGAGAAGAGCTCCGGTTTGGCCACAACAATTGATATAACGAAGTACAAAAGAAGCTTATATCCAGATTCTTTATCTCCCTCAGAACGGAAGAGAAGAAGAAGTTTCCACAAAAAAACCCACGTGGAAATTATAAAATGTCGTTCAAGGAAATTATTGAACTACCATCGTATTCAATCCAGAAAGTGAAATGCGTAACATACGAGAGGCATAACATCTTCACGAGAGAAATTAGCAGGAGCAAGGAGAGAAATTAGAGGCATTTCATGCGGCGTTAGTTGCACAAGCAGCAAGACCCTAGAGGACAATGTCGGTCGTGATTTGTTTATATCAAAGATGAAAAACAAACATGACTCTACAAGATACTTTGACTTTCAGAACACTCGCATCAGGTGAAATACTCATAAGGGCTTTAAAATTTGATTATAGCAAGCTGAATGCAATGGCGTTTCAAAAAACGAATGTATCAGCAGCTGCGGGGTCAAGTACCAACTACAATAACGGAGAAAAAAAATCAAGCAGGAGCCAGCACTGACAGTGCGAACATCAAATGGAGGTAATAGCAAACAATCTTTCATGCGGGAAAACAAAAAAAAAACAGCAGTAGATCCACGTCCTCTTAATGGACAAACAAAGCCCTGTAATAGATTTGGACGCGCAATTTAATCGGGTCGCTTGAAATCTTGCCGGGCTATGGAAAAACATGCAACAACTGCAGTAAACCTAACCATTTTGCAAAAATGTGCAGACTTCAACAAGTAAGCGAAATAACGGAGGATTCGGTAAAGTCGGAGGAGGAATGCAATCTAATAACGGACGATTTTGAGTCATGTAGCGAATTTGAGATCATGTCAAAACAGCCATACATACCAGAAGGGGAAAAATCGCTCATAAATCGCGGATACATTTTTTTATTGTGATCGGAAAAATTGGTGCTGCTTGCAAAGCAATCGGCTATGTTTAATCTTTTTGTGAATCTGTTTTGTTAAATAAAATTTCCGTGTAATTGAGATTGGTTGTTTGAGCTGAAATTGGTGCGTTTTTTTGTGTCGTTGATGATAGAATATATCTGTTCAACTCCAATCTATTTAGATGAGGTGAATTCTTTAATCTTGTGGTTAAAAATCGTATCTATGTAGCAATCTTTATAGCTCAATGTTGAAATTGTTGGTTATTGTTATGGGCACAGTATAATGGTGAAATTACTTTAGAATGAGAACAGAATAATTGAGAAATTATAACAAAGATGTTGATTTCGACTTTTGGAGTTTAATTCTGTGGGCGAAAAAATTTCTAATTATATTAGAGGATTTTTCAATGATGGTGATAAAAAACTTAACGGAATTGAAAATATCGTATCTAGTGGTGTGACTATTATTGTTCATGGGGACTTTAGTATCTTTACTTCCCGCATGGACGGGGAGTGCTGATCCAGTGAAGCAACCTTGCACTTACTTGCATGGGATTTAAAGGGTCGTCTCTAATTTTTGAGGAACTTGGCGTTCTTTTTAAAAAAAGTTTGTTTTTTGGAGGACATTGGACATTTCGCTTTCATTGATCGATGGCGCATTTATATATCTACTTTTTTTGGTGAGCTCCCTCTAAGTCGCTGTTTTATGTTCAGGACCGTGTGGAATGAAATTTAGCATGTTCAGGCCGTTGGGACAAGAAAATGATATGTTCAGACCGTGTGGAATGAGGTAATCCGGTTTCAGATCACCTAGAATGAAGGAAACCAGATTTAGATTGTATGGGCTTTAAAAAAACTGGTTTCAGACCTTGTGAACCAAATAATTGCAGAGCAAGACCGTGTGGACCATCTAATCCTTTTTAGGACGAAGAGGTCCAACAAAAGTTGGGTGCACAAAAAACAAATAATTGCTTCAAAAAAAATCAATACCGATTTCAAGCAATTACCAGAACAAGCGATTACCAATAGATTACCAAAAATTTTAACATTATAATTCATTCTAATTCATTACAAACGATTGTTTTTGAAACTTAGAAGACAGTCAATAAAAATTCAATATAATCACTCTTTATCCATGAAATTTTATTGCGGGTTGGTAATCGTTTAAAATTTTTAGGATAATGTCCTTCCAGAAACTATTTTTGTGTTCATAAAGCATATGTAAAATTGTTGCAAGCTTGATTTAGGTGTTTCAATTTAGACAGCGTTTGTTTATACGAATTAGATTAGCACTTAGATTAGCGAATTAGATTAGCGCTTGAACAGTAATTGTGTAGACAAAAAATTAGCCTTTGTGAATTTTTGTGTATTCGTTGGATATGAAGGTAATCAGAATTAGGTTTAAAAATTATTGATAAAACGGTGTAAAAAAGAGCTTAAAATACGAACTTTTGCTGAAAAATTAACAAAATTTTGAACGAAAATTTGAACACGCTTTCAATCAATTTATCTTGATAGATTTGCAAATAAAAATGCTTTTTTTTTTAAAAAAAATGAACAGATTGTCGAGAATTTTCTTTCATTCGCTGTATTCAAATAATTGATCAGTTTTTTTTAGCAAGAGGTAGTTTGAACTTTGAGTAAGATTTGATATTGATTTAGTTTTTTGCTTTCTTTTCAAATTTCTTGTAGTCGTTTGTGGTTTGCTTTTTTGTCTTTAAATCCTGGTAGAATTTGATGGCTTGAGGTATGTTTTGCGCAGATATTTTTTGTCTAAATTCAGTTCGACTTTAGAAAACAATTGTATTTGGTTGTAGATTTGGGCTTAGACTACTGCGTCAGTTTAATTTCTATTTCTTGGTGTCTAAAATAAGATTGCTACAAATTGTAGCTCAAGAAATTTCAAAATTTTCAAATAGTTGATACCAAGATTTGGAATTTTTTGATAGGTAATCTTTATTGACGATGTATATGCGACTGCAAACTGGAAAGATATGTTTTTGGCTTAGCGCAGCTCCTCGTCTTCACTTCAAATAAACACAAAAAATGTTTCCGGTTATACCTTTTTGTTTGACGTCGCAAGGCTAGTAATTTTTTTAACTAGCAATTTTTATCGGAAGTTTTTAAGCCATTCGAAAACTATTGTTGCGCTTGGCTCAAATTCAAAAAATAATTTTACTTGTGATCATTTTTCAATAGTTTATGGGGTTTTATAGGATGCCAATATGGCCAATTCCTAACAATTATTCGCCATGTTTTCTGCGCTCTTAACGCATAAACGGAGATTCAATCCGTCTTAGAAATAGTTCTAAATTGGATTGAGACATTTTTAATCCATTTTATACTTTGCTACATGAAAATTAAATCTCTGTCTATTTTTCATAGCAAAAGAGGGGATTTTTATAGCATTCTGCTCTTATTTTTATGATTCTTTTTTAAAAATTTCATCAATTGTTTTAAGTTAAGCTATTCCATAGAAATCAAAACTTATTCGGAATTATCAAAGCTTCGTCCTGATACGAGCAATCTTGTTGTTTATTCAAAAACAAATTTTGCAGAAAAGCTTTGTTTTTATTTTAAAAAAATTACGTTAAAATTATGATTAGACTTTATTTCCTCTGGATTTAAATCTACGCATCGAGCAGTTGAGCCATGCAAATTGAAAAACATGAAAACAGCGGAGATCAAATATGTCTACAATATTTTCTCATTAGCAAAATGAATACCAGCGTTTGCATCCGATTTAGACAGCATGAAATACAACGTGTGTTGTAGACATCACCGTTTTTTTGCTGCTTTTTGCCCATATTTTAATTTTCCTCTTTTTTGCCCGTTTGGATACGTATTGGAAATTTGAACGCATTGTATGAACAACTAGTGGAGTAGATTGAAAGCGATGTGAATTTTGACTATAAGCTCACAGCTTATCGGGCTAAATTTAGATTTTTGAAGCTCCTTTCTCTTTCATTTTCTTGCCTCGGTTGCTTGGGAAAATAAAACCGATGTCAATTTAGATTGCAAATACAGCGCATTGTGTAGTTGAGCAAAATATAGCAAAATATAACATAACCACAAAAGAAGGTGTGTGACGGTATACCGTGCTGGTTGTGGAGCTTTTCTTTTTGCCCCCCCCCCCCCCCCCCCCCCCCAGTCCGACCCCCTATTCCTTTTCCCGCACCATTTAACGCTTCTATAATGAAAAACACGAGAGAAGCAGGAAAAAGAAGGCACACGCATGAGATACGATATTTGCGATTGCACCATTTCAATATCCTTCTTTTCCTGTTATCTGAATTCACAGCACAGCACGCATCAAAAAAGTAGAAATGTAATTTATAAAAAAACACGAAGAGAAAAAGTGTAGAGCTATTTATGATGTGCGAGTAACGCAGAAAAAGCTTATAAGAAGTAGCTATAAAAAACCGCCGAAATTTTCTTCGTTTTCTTGAGCAGAGAGGAGTTAAAATTAGAAATAAATCACAACAGGGAAAAATATTAAAAATTCATCTACACGAGGAAAAGTATTGTAACGCTATGATGCACGTAGCCTTTTTTCATCCCAATATAAGGCTACATACCTTTTTGCGCGCATATGTAAATAAATTCGGGAATGATTAAAAACACGGGAGGAAAAATAGTAATTTTTTATCTACTATGCTAGTTATACAGTATAATTTGACGCTGTATGTTCTTTCATTTTAGATACGTATATTTTTCCAATTTCCCTGTCTATAACATGTAGCAGCAAAGGCTATACGCAAAAATTTCCATTTTTCTTGTTCGGGTAAAATTCTTGTCGAGTCTTACTTCGGTTGTATTTCCAACAGTAAGTAATTAAAACGTCATCGTTCAATTTGTGTTCCGAGTATAGTAAAATCAAAAGAGTGGGAAAAAAAGTAAATTTTTGTTCATTTCACGTTGATTTGATAACTATGAGTTCGCATTGATTGAGTAGCGTTTTTTGGTCCTTTTTTAGACCTGTTTTATTTTCGGCTTAAACCACATATACCAGAAAAACTGAAATATAAAATACCCGAATGCGCGTTGCCTATTGAGTATTGGTATAAAAGAAAACAGCGGGTCATTTTTTTTTCATTTTCATACAGTCACGGAGGAAATACGTACACAAGTTTACATATACAGCTAAATAAGGAATATAAAGCCTCTGTTTTCTAAGCTTCGTTTTTTATTCAGTGTTTTGCTTTTTTCATTTCACAGGAAAAAAGGAAAAGCCAGCAAATTTTTCCAAGCTAACTAAGCTATAGCAAATCGCTTTGTTAGAATTTTTGTACATGCATTGCAATTGCTTGTATATATTCTTCATAAGCAAAGCACATCTATGCACCAGTGGAAGAAAAATATATTTTCCGTTTTAAAAATTCAGGTCTAAAAAAAACGAGAAAAATTAAAGCGTTCTCGTGCAGTGTAGTGTTCAGATATCTTCTCTTTTAGCGCTAACAGAACCTTTTCCCATCACACGGCAAAAAAGAAGAGGAAAACCATATAAAAAATTATACCACGGAGAGAAAAGAAATTTTGTTGAGGCTGCAATTTACCATACTCTTTACATTTTTTGCTTTAGCAGGAGAAGAATTTTCCCCTGTTTCCTCAAAGTAGTTCTTACTCTTTTTTCTTACTCCCGTAATATATTTAGAGCAATTTCTCTAGCACAACTGAAAAAAAACGAGTTTCTGTTTATTGCGTTATTTACTCCTAGTTACCGACTCGCGCTGAAAACGAGCAAATAAGCTTGCTCCATAGAAACTAATTTGCCCTTTTGTCTGTTTGGGAAATTGAAAAATATCGATTATTCTAAGCGTTTTCCTTAAGGAAGTAAAAATCTTTTACGATTTCCATAGCTGTGGATAAATTTTTTGCTGAAGTTTTCTTACTTTACCGCTTGTGGTTTTACTTTATCGTTTAGCGAGCAGCAAATTGGTTTACCCGTTTTTCTTCATATTATTCACGTGGGGTTTTGCTGCTCAAGGTATTTGAAGCAGATTTGGCTCAAAGGCGAAACAGTTTGACGACAGAAACGAAGTTTTCCAAAACGGTGAGTTAACTTTACCTTTCAAATGAGAAATTTTTAAAACTGAAAAAATGACCTTTTCTTTTTGAAGAAAAATAATAATAGTTTCTAATAGCAGACTAATGTTAAGAAAATCGCTAACTTTTTCAAGACCGGCTACATATCCCAACTTAAAAATAGCAACTAATTATCCTTAATTATACGAAATCTGCGCCGTGGGAATTTTGGAGCAAAATTCTTCAGTTTTACATTGCCTCCGATTAATCGCGAAGAAAAATTTTAATAATTAGAATATTTTTTCCACAAATAAAACGGAAATGTTTCATTTGTAATTTAAATTTTTTTTGAAATTGAAATTATGAAATAAAAATAATAATTTCAGTAAGCACTTGCATTTTTGCTCACTTAGTTTTGCGGCGCTGCAAACTATCTCTCCATAGAATAAATTCGTGAATGATTTTTGGTTTCAAAATCACACCCAAAAATTGTGAAGATTTTAGGAGAAGCGTTGGTATCATTTCAAAAACAGTCAAACCAGACTAAAAAAATTCGGTTTTCAAATTTAAGAAACGTTATTTCCCCACATAAAGCAAGTATGTCCTGATTGAAATTGCATCGCATTTCAGATGAACAAATTAATTGCGGGAGGTATCAATCAACTAAGGAATGTATCAGTCAGAATACATAAAATAACTATGTTGTAACTGTGCGCATCAAAGGTTCATCAAATATTATTGCAAGTCTGAAGACATTGATGGTACGCTGATGCAACAATGATTAAACAGCTGTTTTGTCGAGTAAAAATTTGATAAATGGATGAATTTTTGCTAAGCAACGAATCGTTGATGTTTCATCGAAAAAACTTGTTAGAAAAAAAATCGGTATTGCGCTTTGTAACTTGCGCTTTCCATATGAAACGCCGTGATAACACTTGATCAGATCAAAATTTTTTAAAGTATTGGGTAATTTCTTTGAGTGCTCCAAAAAGGTTGAGCTAATGTTATATAACTATGAAAATAACAATCCAGAAGTTTACTCTTTTGAACCAATGGAGCTCTTGATTGAATAAATCTGAGAGATCTTTTTCTGGTACGTATGGTCTGAGGCAAGCAAGTCTCCTAATCATCAATATTTCAGTCACGATTCATCGTTGAATGATCAATTTCAGTCGCATCTATGTTTCATAGAGCAATCATATGGATCAACTATAAAGTGATCCATTAATGGCTCAACTTTATAGTTTAAATCTATGTGTCGGCGAAAAACCCAACCATAAAATGTAACAATAGAATTAGGAAAAAAATTTGCGCCCTAGATAAATCATAGAAAGAACATTGTTAATTATTACATAATTCGGGTGCTGATGGATTTCATTTTGGAGCGGAATTTCAGTAAAGGATTAATAGATTTCCGTGGGCCGAGTTTCGAATATTTTTCTTCTTGGCCTTTTAGAAAATTTTGATCAAGTTACTGCGTTTTTTGGCGCGCTCCTCCATCAGATTTAGTGTATGTTGGAGCCGAAAAGATCTTTCGATAATTTGGGTAGTCAGGGGTCGAATTTCTGAGGAAGAGACGGGTGTCTACAATACACTGTAGAGAGGTGTATCTCTGAGGTAAGGGGGGGGTGCTTAAATGCAAAATTGATGAGCTCTTTTCTCTTGATTTACAATGTAAATGTGGACTCAAGTAAGTAAAAAAGATAAGACTTTTAAACAAACGAAAAAAAGACATTTTCAACAACCGGGTTGATATCACAGAGAAAAGTATTTTTGATATCAGTATTTTTCCAGAACTTTAACTGTAAATTATCATTTCTGTATCAGTACTCTTACAGTTTTGTTTTCATGCTCCTAATTCTCTGATCAGATTAAAATCAGAAGTTTTGTTCTGTTGTTTTTGAAATTACAAAAATCAGAGATATTGTTTTGTTGTTTCTTTGATCAGAAATCGAATAAAAAAAGTAAGAAGTAACCAAAACAGCATTTTTTAAATATCAAAAATTTGAAAAAAGTCTCAAAAAACTAAATTCCATGATGCGATTTCATAGGCAAAAATGCGATTTTAATGAACTAATGTGGTTGGGCTGATATTATTGTTTAAACTTGCGAGAGCAGGTGTCTTGTAATGGACACTAGTTTTTTTTTCCCGTAGAAACTTCTCGTACACTTTTTCTAAGACATTGATGTTGCTTTCCCAGGCCCAGCAACCTTTTTCAAAGCTTGAAGAATCTTTGAGAAATCTTTTAAAAAAGTCTTTAGAAAACTTGGCAAGATCGTGTCAAGAATCTTGAAGGCCGGTTAAATCGTTAAGAGAATTCCAAGGATCTTGAAAGCAGAAACCAAGATTTCAAAGAATCTTAAATATTTTTCTAAGAGTTTTTTAAATCCGGGGATTGCGAGCTCTTAAAAACAAAAGGCAATAAAAATGGAAATTTGATAAATCAGAATTTATGATCTATAAAATGAAATATAAAAATCATGAGAACATAAATCAATTTGTTGCCAGCCATCTTTATAAAAAGAGTAACTGATAGCTGTGTATGTAGCACAGAAAACTTTGAGCACTTTAGGACTGCAAAAGTGTTCAAAAAACACAAAGTTGATTTCAAAATTTTTTCAGTTTTTTAGCAGAATTTTGGTCGATTTATCGTGCGTAGCGAATTGATATAAACAATGAAAAAAAATGAACTTGCTGTTTTTGGTTGGCTTTCCAACTATCCAACTAGCTTAGGGATAAATTGTTCTGAATAGCAAATAATTGCTGAGACAGATAACTTTTTGGAAAAAAAGTTCTTTCATTCCGCTTCACGTCATTGTTACATCTCCAGTTTTAACCGTGGCGTAATAATATTTCCCGTATTTTCTGGGTCCATCCATACTTTTCTCTTCTGGCAAATACAAAGCGTGCATCTAGAAAAAACTTAAACAGCTATATCTGTAACTGTGCTGCTCTTTGCGTAAGTACTTAACCAAACTGAGAAGAGATTTTATTCACCCACCATTGATAACAGATCTATATATTTACCATTTTTTATAGATTGGTCAGGTTTTAATTGCAAAGCCATGGCATTTTCTGTTGTAAATAGATCATGTTTTCTTCCTGTGCGAAGCTACGAGCTCCTAGCTGAAAATCTATACCATATATATTTATGATCATGCCATAATTTCCTACGATACCATATATCGAATAGAAGTATAGTTTCTGTAAAATTCAGATTTTTGCGTTTGTGGTTCTCGCTTTGTTGCATATAACACATGCAGCCGCACTTGAACGTATGGAAACGATTTAATAAGAAGGAATACGAATTCCATGTAGTGAAACGTCTCTCCTATAGTTATGTAAATGGTATCTTTATGCATAGTGTAGTCGTAAAACATGGTCGATACCGGAAATTTATAGAAAATTGATTATTTATAGTAAACACTCGGGCGCTAAGCTTTTCGACATTATCTAGACGTTCTAAGTTCCCTTTCAAAAACTGTGGAAAGAAATCTCTATTTTGGAATCTTTTAGTTGTCGGTTGGCTTTTCCTTGGTGTGAATATTTACTATATTTAGCGTGTTCCAGAAATTGAATTGCAAGTAAATTTAGTTTGAAGATTTGAACCATTTCGAAGTCCAAAAATAGCGACGCACTAAGTAATCAATTTACATAAGCCGGTTTCAAAACTTTAACGCGACCGGACCCGAAAATACTCCTAAACTGCAGGTTAGTGTATTTCGTATTTGGCGTATTTGTTTTAGCATTGGCAACTTTCACGAATGCAAACTTAAAACTTGTACATATTCTAGACTTTCAGTCCCCTAAAACGACAGGTTAAACTACTAAATTTTGGTTATTACTAAATAGTGATATATGTTCCGACTACAATTTAAAAGTTTGAGCACTATTAAGAAGTAAAACCCACTTTGTAAAACACAGTTTCTACTGAGGCCCATTTATAAATAAGGCAGACATTTATGTTTTACTGAATTTGCATTCTAATTTTGACAGAATTAAGACAAATTTACAGAAAACAATTTATTTATTTGTCGATATTTTTTGAGCCCCTGAATTTATCATAAGCCCATTCATTGCAAAGCAGGTAGTATAACTATTTATACAGATTTTATTGTTTTTTTTCATTATTTTAATTTTTACGAGATAAACAAAAACGTTTTTAAAAGTTCGCGAGAAAACTACAGCGCTCGAAAAATTCTTCATTAAAGCTATCTTTACGTCAATCTTCTAACTTTTCCACCTTCAAATTTTCTCCTTTCTTGAGCTTGAAATGGTGAATTAATTTCCCATCAGGTAGTGATACTGAAAATTCCTCACATGAATACTAATTTTAAATAGGTTTCCTTTTCCTTTTTTAGATGATCGAATTCCGAATTCATACATTATATTAGCATTTTTGGGACAAAAAAAATCATTTTTCTCCTAAATGCTTGTAGCATTTCTGCTTTCAAAAAAAATATCCGTCGTTTTTCCATCGCAATTTGTTGTTTTTAAGCAGTCTGAAAACTGAAAGGAACTTAACAAGACATGGAACAAAGATTTCTGTGTCAGCTTTGATATAGTACCCAAAACAGCAAAGTGGAAAGTTTGATGTTTAGCTTGTCAAACTAAATTGAAAAGTTTGGAAGTTTGCGTATTTTGGAAACAACGGACTCAGCTCTCATTAAGAACTTTCCATAACTGTTTTACCGTAAAAAAGGTTCCCAGAAAATTTGCTATTTTTCAAAAACAAATAGAAAAATAAAAAACCACAAATCTATTCTTGATGAAAATTTTGCAATGGGTAAAACGTTAGAAGCATGAAAAAACTATGTCTTTTTTTTGGGTATATCATAAATTAAAAACCTTTCAGTGGTTATCTGATCAATATCTCAGAAATTTTCATATGACTTGTCAGGGTTGGGTTGAGAGAAGCCATTGGAAAAAATTTTTGTTTACTCGAATTGATAGCAAGTAAAGACAGCAAATAGAGAAAAAAAACTACAAAAGAAAAAACAAAAAATGAAAATTGCTTTACGCTTCTCCGGTATCATAAATAATCAAAAACTCTATAAAAAAACCTGATTGCAAAATTAATTCTAATGCTTACTTTTCGACCATGCCGCGACTAATTTTTCAACCGACGCCACTAATTTTTCGACCATACCGCGACAACTTTTTCGACCGCCGCGACTAGTTTTTTGACCGCCACGACCAATTTTTCGACCACCGCGACTAATTTTTTTGACTATGCCGTGACTAATTTTTTGACCGCCGCGACTAATTTGTCGACGGCCGCGACCGATATACGTTATTTCCAGAGTTTGTCCTCGACATAAAACTTTGACCAGACTACACTATGGATTTATGGAAATTTCCGCAACCGACATCGTCGAAAACTTAGTCGCGGACCTCGACCCGGGTTTGAAAAATCTTAGAAAATTTTAGTCTCTCTTTCCACACTGCGGACTAAAATAAACAAGATTAGAGCTAAATTTCCGTTAAGAAATTTAAGAGACAAGGAAAAAGTAAAAAAAAAGATGAAAAAGTGAAAAACGAAGAAGTTCAGATCAGTGTTTCAGTCTTTCAGAGAGAAAATTTTGATTTTTTTTGGGATCAAAGTGCGACCATTAGGCATCTAATATGATACCACGATTGATCAACTACGAGCTGTCTGTGAGGTAAAAAAAAAAATTGACTAGAAAATCCAGGATCTACGCCATAGTTCCTTTCAGTAACTTTACGTAATGTGGTCAGAGCAGAAACACGAATTTGAAAAATCTTTACATGTTTTTCCACAAATATTACGGGGTCTGAAAAAGATAGCATCCGCCAAATATTGTAATTATTCTGAAATTATTTTAAAACTTAAAAAGGGATTATCAAACGTGATAGAACTGTAATATCACGTTTGATGATCCCTTATTAAGTTAAAATAGACGCAGAATAATTACAATATTTGGCGGAAGCTGTCTACTTGGGACCCGGTAATATTTGGGGAAAATTGTTTTAAAGGTTTGGACAAAAATAACTTCGTTTTGATATTCCATTTGTACTAGCTCACTATAACATACCAAATGACAATTCCAAAAAAGGCAAGTCAAATTCCATCAAATCAAACAATTTTAAAATTTCTTCTGCTATCACAGCACTTCCTTAAAATAACTACAAAAATACACAAATATAAATAGCTATTTTCCTGTTTCAGGTGATTTTTATCAGAAGTGAAAAGCGGAGAAACTGCAAATAGACCAATCGTTACTTTACAAATTGCGAGTCAACAACAGACAGAAAACTACCGCGGGGTTTCAAAATAAACAATCAAAACAGCGCAAAAAAAAACTACAGAGGACGGACATCAGCTACAAAAAAAAATCAGTTACAAACATTGCAATTGCTGATTATCTGTTACAGTTACATCAATTACTGACTATTGGTGTTAATTCGTTTTAATTGCTGCAAGTTATAAATCATAGTTATAACAAGATATAACTAGTTTTTAGTTATAATGGGTTGTACTATGAGCGCCGAAGAGCGGGAGGCACTGGAGAGGTCACGTGCGATTGAGAGGGGACTGAAAGAGGATGCAACTTTGGCGGCCAAGGACATCAAACTGCTGCTTCTGGGAGCAGGTAAAGAGTTATTATTACTTCATCATTCGATTCAGGGGCGGATTTAGGGGGGGGGGGGGGTTTGGTGGGCGGAGGGGTACACGCTCCATCCCCTCACGTATTCGAACCAATGCCGACCCAAAGGGTCTCTTCTTTGTACTACCTTGAGATATCCATTTTTGGTGACGAACACCAAAAATCATCTAAAGGCGCCTTCGGCGCCAATATATAGTAATTTTGAAGGGGGAGCGCGTTTTTGGCCTTTTTTAAAAAATTTTGCTTGCGGCGCAGAATTTTTATCCAAAACAGGATCTTTTAAGCGCTTTGGGAAAGCTCGAAAAATCAAATTGGTCAATCTAAAAAAAGGTTCAAAAATTTTCGAAATTTTTTTGAAAAACCGCCCCCCCCCCGAGAAAATCTTAGATCCGCCCCTGATTCGACTTTTGTTTGTTTTAATTATATAGTTATGTAGCTATTAGTCATAAGCATATATAACCCGGGTTGATGTGCTCGAATTATGTTACGACCAAATTCGGTGGAATACATGGATGTCGAACCCACAGAATAACTCGATTCCTGATCGAACACAAAGTAGAAATTAAAGCATGGTCGAAACAGATTCGAAAACAAAATATATTCAAAACAATGTCGAGCACAAAGTAGAACACAAATAGTGGTCAGAACAAAGTCGAACAAAACTCGAATACAATGCGTGGGAAAAACAAGGGCGAACACAAAGTGTGGTCGAAACATGATCGAACACAGTCTCGAAACATAGCCCAATTCAAGATGTCGTCTAAAAATAATCTTAGACAAAAGCCTGAGAAGCAATGTTTTGTCAAAAAAGCAATTAATAATGAAAATTTGATGAACTCAAAAAAATCTGATTTTTGCCACATCCAAATGGAATAACCTGATTAATCAGAAAAAAAGTTTTAAAGATGTCAAAACAAAAAGATTCAGTTTAGTATACTAATTGGGCATAAAAAACATCAAGTTTGATAATAAGTCAGACACATCTTTATAAGCATTTGTCGTTTTTCGTAAATTAAACTCTGATGACAGTGATTAAATTAAACATCAATTATAATATAATTGAAAATCCTTTCAATGGATTCTTTTTGATAAATTTAGTTATTTACTTATTTATTTATTATGTTATTTACATAAACAGTTTATTTTCATAACTGTTCATTTAGTGTTTTTGGAAGCTTTTTGTTGTCCGACTATTGAAAATGAGGAGAAACTTTGCATCCGGGCGTGTGGGTTGAGCGGTATATCATATTGAAGCCTTTTCAGTCGTGATGTGAACAGCAAAAAAATATTTTAAAAAAACACGTTTGCGTTGAGAAAAACTGGTTTGGCAATACTGAGTTTTGGTCTAATTTCGAGCTAGTGAAGCAATCGAGTATCGTTCATTATATATAAACATTGTTCATCTAGGTTCGGAAAACATGTTCTTATATTTAAAAAAAAACCTTTTTTGTAAGCTTCATTTAGCGCTTCCTTGGCAATAAGATCTTTTCGAAAAATTAATCAAAATTTTAGGCAAAAACATTGGTGACACTTTTAGAAATTTTTTGAAAAAAATTTCCCTCATCACACCAGGCTCAAGATATTGAAACAAAAAAGAATTTTTTTTTGTGAATCTTTTAATGTGATCGGAACATTCTGTGCTAATTGCACTTCAACCGGCTATCCTTGTTTTGTCCTTGGATTTTCTTTTGTTGCGAAAATTCTGAAATTTTGATTTTTGTGTTGCAAAAATTTGAACAAAGTATATAAATGCCAGTCCTACGCCCAATTTTCTTTTCAAAAATTTTTCATTTGACTGGTTTGAGCCTGTCAAGTGAGCTTTTAAAAATCATAAGGTTTACAGAATGGCTAGATTGTACTCATTTTGTAAACAGTTCTTGTCGTAAACTTTTTGCGCTGTAATTCAGGTTTTCAACACATATTTTTGTATCGCTTCATATTTTTTGCATTACCATCGGCAAACGTTTTTTCTTAAATTGCCAAAAGTAGCTTTAATTAGCCATTTTACTTGATAAAGTTTGATCTTTCTGGAGCCGAATCTACTGTCTACTCTAACTCCATTTCAGTGGAGAAAAAAAAACGAATAACCCAAGTTTTGACATTTCGTAATAAACTGATTTTTTTCCAGGATTTTTGTATGAATCTCGCTGATAATAAATGGACGCTATTGAGGATCACGTCTAATAAAAACCACATATTAAAAACTCAGGTTTTTTTGATTATTTTGACCCTATACTTTGCTTGAAAGGGTTTTCTACTTGGAAAAAGCATTTGATTTTTAGTTATTTGTAATTTTTGTATCGCTTCACACACGGAAAATAGCGTAAACTTACAACCATTGAAAAACTTGATAGTGGAAAAATATTTTCAGCGTTTTTGTATAGCTCTACTTATTTGGTACAAAAACAAGAATTTCCTCTTTTGCGTCATTCATCTCATGTAGTGACCAGTTCAACTATATATATATAAAAAATCTGTTCATTTTTTATTGAAAAAAGCCTAAAAATAGCTCGGACTTAACAATTGAATTAAGTCACAATTGGGAATTGATTAATCGGTTTTAGTTTTTTGTGAAAAACAAAAGGCTGAAAAAATGTTCGCTGATTTTTCATTTGAATTTTTTTTGGTTTACGCACTAAATAAATCAAATGACATTTGCGTGACTTGAATTGGGTTCCCGAAGAAGTGATCTAATTCAATTGATTTTTCTTAACGGGAAGTCATAAATTCAGCTCAAGATTAGAGAAACAGAATTCATTGATGACTGATCAATTTTCCAATCCCGAGGGAAGAGTTTGTAGTTTGCAAAATTGGCGTGCAATGCTCTATCATTTGGAACGGGGCACGCTTTTAAAATAAAATTCAATTTAAATCATGGTGAATTAACTCATTGCATTCAATAGGCAAGTAACCACCAAATGGAATTGAGCCAAAACATAAGTTGGTTAAAATACACCCAAAATACATCAAATATTAATCTAAAAAGTCAAGGCCGCAAAAATATAAAATGAAAAAAGATACTTACCAAATTAAATTATCTGTGAAGACGCCACAATAGACTGTTAATTTATGATAAAAAGTTATTGTGACTTATTTATGCCCTTTTTTTCTTCTTTTTGTCTGTCATCTTAAGCTTCTTAGTCTAAACAAACTGAATGATCAAAAAGAATTAACATTTCAACCCGAAGCCAAATTTGGACTTTTATTTCAACAAAACCATTGCATTTTCATAAAAAACTTTCATCTCCCAAAATTCAATTCAGCCCCAAGCCCCCACCCTGGCATCACAAAAGTTAGAATGAATAAATGAAAATGGAACAACTAAAGCTAAAAGATGCGTCCAATCAGTTTTACAAAAAGAAAGCCGTAAAGTTTCTGATGACATGGAGATTAAAAATATCACTCTTATTTATTCACAAATCAACAAGGAAACAATCGCAGGAAAATAGGTTTACAAATAAGGATATCTTTAACTACTCCCCCACCTTTGCTAAAGGGGGGCATTCAAAACTAGTTTGAAAATTCGCATATGCTTAACCGTTGAATTAGTTCTTTATTGTGGTTTTCCGTTACTAGATACCCAGTGGCCTGCGCACAAATTTTTTCTAGGGGGGCAATTTTGAAGTTTTGAGGGGACCTTTTTTTTAGGTCGACCAATGTGATTTTCCATGTTATTCGAAAATACTATAATACCATATTTTGTCAAAAATTTTCTGCGCCGCAGGCAAATTTTTTTAAGAAAATGCAAAAGAGGCGTTCATAGGCACGCTCCCACCTCAAAGCTCAAAGTTATTCATATTGGCGCCAATGGCGCCTTTAGAGAAGTTTTGAGGTTGGTTAGCAAAAAATGGATGTCCCTTTGAAAAATGTGGCAACCAGAATTGAAAAGAGAAGTGGTCCCCCCACCCTCGGCATGCTACTGTAGATACCAAAGAGGGATGGGATATAGCTAAGTGGTTGAGATCCCAAATATATATGAAATCATTAAAAAAACACTTAACGGAGAAATTCGGATTTCGTCAACATCAAAAATAGGGAATATTTCATTGTTTTTTGTCCCTAAAGCTAAAGTGTCATCAAAGTAAATAATAAAATCTTCATTTTTTACCATATAAAAAAGTGTTCATGAACAAAATTTTTTGTTTAAATCCAGTTTACTCACGGATCAGAAAACAACCCGCAGCGAAACTGGAAAAATAATTTGTCTCATTTTTAAAATCTTGGGGTCAATTGAATCACCTTCACGCTGTGATCTCCACGTTTGCAACAATTTTTCAGTTCACTAGTTGAACAAACAATCTATTTAAATTGGGTCAAGGCATTTTTTAGGCTTCAATGACTTTTCCAGATTTTCCTTGATTTCTTTCCTTGAGTCTACTTCATTGATTTGTCTTTAGTAGATGAAGTCATTTTGGGCAGCGATGCAGCAAACTTAGTCCATTGATGTTCACTTTGTGGTCAACTGATTGCTTCTTTGACCTGGGGAAATTAGAGTCTGCTGGGGAGACGTTTTTTCCAATAATTTGCCTCGCTTGATCAAAGAAATTTTTTTTATATATATAAATTTTTTGTCGTTTACCCAGCTACTGGGGCCAAAAATGGAAACCAGGTTTAATATTAATAAAAAAAAGCGTTCAAGAGAATATTGAACAAAATGATGTAATGAGTAGACATGTTGTAATGCAAAAATGTATACTAATTGTTTTGGTAAACGATCATGATGGGAAAGCTCCATCTATTATCTAAAAGTTAAGACAAAAAATTACAATTATTGTTAGACAGAACAATTAAATTTTGAAAAAAAGGCAGTTAGAAGAAATATTTACGAAAAGCATCAGGATTTATTTCGACTCAACTACTAAACACTTTATATATCAAGCAGGGGCGAAATTAAAGGGGGGCTGACGCCTCCCCCTCAAGGATTCGACCCCTGCCGGAACAATTTTGTACTTATACCCCCTTTCAACTATTTTGAGGTATCCATTTTTGTCTGACGGACCATACAAATTTTCTAAAGGCGCCTTTGGCGCCAATATAAACTAATTTTAAAGTAGCGCGCCAAAAAAGCGCAATTTTATGGTAAAATTCTTCCTAAAAAAACATATAGCCTTTTTGGCCAGTTTTTTCAAAGTTTTGCTTGCGGCGCAGAACTTTTGGCCGAAACAGGCACTCTCTAGTGCTTTGGCAAAGCTGGGAAAATCAATTTGTTCGGCCTAAAAAAATGTCGACAAAATTTTTGAAAATTCGCCCCCCGTCAAGAAAATCCTAGATCCGCCCCTTGTATCAAGTCATATTTCGCCTGAACCCAGCTATCTGGTAATCCATGGTTGAAATTACTTAGTTGTTTGCTATCAAAGATGTTCACTAGTTGCATAAAATTTGAGAATGAAAACTGCAATCAATTGAAAACAGTATCATTACGAGGCCAAACAGTGCACTGGATCAGGCGCACTATTTTGTGTCTTTATCTTTCTGGATTCCAGAGACAAGTCCTTGAGAACATTTCAAAATGTTTGTGGATTCCGCGTACAAATACCTGTCGCGTAAAATTTATCGCACATTAGTTTTGTTGAGGATTCTGCAACGAGCGAATATAGATAGTTGTTCCGGGTTCCGCAAATGTATGCGGATTCCAAAATTTTAAGTGGATTACGAAAACTTATGTAGATTGCGCCAAAAATTCGCGGATTCAGCTTACACTTTGCGGATTCCACTTACAGTCGCGGATTCCACGACAACTTAGGATTACTAAACAATTAAAAAATTCTTTGTTTATGGATTCTACAAACTGTACCGGATTCGGCAAAATTTGTTGTGAATTCCGCAAATTTGCCTGCTTTTGAAGCAATTTTCAGCCTTACATTAATTTATCTATTTATCCGTGGAATCCAAAATAACAAAGAAGATCAAAGAAAAGTAGCAATATTTCGTATTCTGCGACAAATCTGATTTTGGCCTGTTGCGGAATCCGCTTACAATTCACAAAAAGCACAATTTGGCCTCGCAATAAAGTTTAAATACAGCAAATGAGCTTTTTTGCATAATTTGAGTATACTCAGATGCTTTGAGTTACATTTTTTAAATAACAAATAAGATTTGATGATTGGAATATGAAATAATCGAGGCTTGATTTTGTCCTTCTTTTTTAGAGATTCAAGTTTCACTTGGGAGTAGCAGAAATAAAAAGCCCCGGTAAAATGAAAACAAATTATTGCACTTCTAAATTAGGCTGCGTTTTTCTAATGTCATTTGGCTCCAAAATGGATGACAAATTTTCCACCCAAGTCCTTGAAATGACCGAAAAATTTTAGAAGGGGCTCCTGAGACTTGTTTGGCAGCAAAACATATACGAAGTCTACGCAACTAAACATACGCTATCCTTGTTATGAATAATAATTGTTTTGGTCAGTTATGACTCATAATTCACGAAAAATAATCATAACTCAGAAGAAACTGTTTTCAGAACTTTACTAAACAGAACAACGATCTCCGTTTTTTTCCTCAAAATACTCGTTTTTAGCGCGTAATGAGATGAGAAAAACATACGAATGCGAAGAACTGTAAGGATTTAGGCATAATTGACAACTGATATCTTCAAAGAAAGAATAGAAAACATTGAAGAGCCGATTGTTTGGCTCGAAATGTGCTAATAGGAAACTTAATTTCGACCTATTTTTGTTTCTCAAGTATTCGGAAAAAATTGAAAATTCAGTTCAGGAAATCAAAAAGTGTTCGCTGTACTCAGTAGAACTTATTTTAATTATTTCACTCCTGTTGTCAAGTTAAGAGGTTAAGAAAAAGAAATGGGCCAAGATTAAGTTCACTTTTGAGCCAATTGTATCTCTAGGGAATCTTAGATGCAGATGTGCTCAACCTAAATGGAAGGGCGCTTAGATATGAGGAAAAACGGCTCTTTTCCAGTTCCCTTCTTCGATTTTATTTGCAACTCAATTAACAAAAGTCAAGTCAAAATGACTTTCGATGTTCTAAGCTGCGATAAAAAGTGCCAGCGTGAACAATTTTTTTTTTTCATTTTTTCCATTATGTAAATTGCAGTATGAACAATTTTTCAACGAATTATGCAGCAATTTTACGAGGATGTGGTAAACTTGAAGGGCCTGAAAACTAAAACTGATCACACAGAAAATCAAATCTTTTCGAAAGCTGATTTGATCTTTGATTTGAAAACGGATGCATCCAACAGTTCTAGTTTCTAAAACAATAGTCCTGTAAATTGAGGGCAAATTACTCAACTAGATAAGACAGTGAACATGAACAAATTCTATTTTTAGTTACTTAATTTCGCATGAATTATCTTTAAATCACCTCTCTTGTTCATAAATAAATCTGAGCTTTCTTTAATTTTCGGGAAGTAACTTGATAAAACTGCGTCCCTTTCTAGTTAAGTGAAAATAAAGCCATCAATTATTATGTCTATCTCTTGTATTTTGAGCGTGACCTACTTTCAATGACACAAAGAACTATGACGTAACAAGACGAGAAAAAAGACGTAAACATATATTTTTTTTCATAAAAAAATTAAAAAATGACGAGCTGGATATAATTATAACAAACTTCGTTCACCTCGGCCTCTTTTTTCAGTTACGATATTGATGAATCACTTTGTGATTTTGACACATGAACCAAAAAAGCTTCGCAAATGCTATGGATTTCATTATGTTACTTACTTAACATTCAAATAAACATACTCTTCGAGACGAGAAAAAAGCTCATCAGCCTGAAAAAATTTCATTCCCAAGATTAAGTGAGAAATTTTGGAAAGCTTTTGGAAAACTTAAACAGTCAAAAACTTCAACTCAAAGTCATGTCAGATGCGGTGTGTTGATTAAAGTCATTATTTTTTGCAAAATCAGCAACTCGGAACATTGTGCAACTTGCACAGCGAAGGATGTCTTCATTATTTATCATATTATTTTCCGCTAGGTTCAAAGTCACGCGTAAATGGTAAGGTGATTCGGTATGCTTTATCATTTTATTTAAGTCTTAGGTCTGACATCAATTTAATGTGCCCCGACCATTTTAAACGGGGAGGAAATTTGTATTCGGGTGTTTCAGTTTTTTTCTTTCTTTCAGTCGTGATTTCCAAAAAAATCTCCCACTGTCGAGAAAAACTGGTCTAAATTTTTTGATTTTTTTTTTCAATTTCGAGCGATCGAGTAACGCTCGTTATATGGAAATTAGATTTTAAATATATTTTAAGCTCACAAAACTTGATTTTACTAATAATAAAATTTTTTTGGATGTTTCTTACAGCGCTTATCTGACAAGGAAAGGTTTCCAAAATAAAGCACTACAAATAACAAGAATTTTTTTTTAATTTTTAAAATTTGTTTTTTCATTTTTTGTTTGGTATAAACTTTTTAAAAACAAATTTTGTCAATCATGCTGAATTCACTAATTCTCTACGCGATCGTATAGTTATGAAAATCACAGCACTCACTAAAAACGACACTAATTTGAGTAATTTAAAAACTTTGTTCTAATGAAAATGGTCGGAATATTCTGTGCTACTTGCAAAGCAACCGGCTATCTTTGTTATGAATTACACAGAGGCGAACCTGCGCTTCGCAAACACTTCCGAGAACAGGACCAAAAAGCAGCTCTAAGCATAATAAGTCTAGAAGAAGCAAAAACTCGGGTACGTGTAGGATTCGAATGTGCGACCTACTGCATTCGGGAGATTTTTAGTCTCACGCACTATCCACTCAGCCACACAAGCTTAACAACCAACAAAGACTAGTCACAAATAAAGCAGCTACATATGCTATTAGAATACGATTCAGCAAAAAAGGCACAAAATACGAATAAACTCAATTTTGCAAGTAATATTTTGGAATATAATTAATTGAAGGCATCTACACTAAGTTTGAATTCAACATATTGCAAAGCATAAACCCACGTTATGTATAAATGATGCACTTCAAAAAAAAATTGGGAGATAAATTGAGTTGGAAAAAAAAGAAAGTTCGTACTACTACACATTGCTTCTCAAGTTTAATAATTGTTTCGGTCAGTTATGACTCATACTTCACAAAAAATAAATATAACTCATAACAAACTTTTTTCAGACCTCAAATAAACAGAACAAAGATCTTAACTAAAAGATCTTTTCAGACCTTCACTAAAAAGAACAAACAGAACATCTTAGGTTTTTTGTTCAAAATAGTGTCGTTTTTAGTGCATAATAAGATGATAAAAACATACGAACGCGTAGAACTGTAATTAGGCATAATCGACAACTGCAATCTCCAAAGTATGAAAAGCAAACACGACGGTGACAAAAATTTTAAAAAATTAGAAAACTTTCCGATTTTTTTTGCAGAAACGTTTTTTTTTCTTATTTTTATTGCCAGCTGGAGCGCTAAATTAATCTTCCAAATCTAGTTTTCTTGGAAAAAATTTAAGGTTTTCACCATTTAATTGAAATGAAAAGTTTTCGTTTATAAGATTTTATGCTCGCTCGAAATTAGACAAACTCAAAAATTAGAAACCTATTTTTCTCGACTTTGGAAAAAAATTGGAAAGCGCTTGAATATGATATAAAACCCGATGGTTATTTGTGGTACCTGATTTTGCGTGGGAAAAAACTTGAACAACAAAAAACATCCATAGATTAAGTTTCTTCCCATTTTCAAGGGTCAGAACAATAAGCACCTTCAAAAAATCGAAAGTCGATTTGGTGTATGGATAATATCAGCTGTTGTTATTTTTGTTTGTTTGTTTCAGGAGAGAGTGGGAAAAGTACTATAGTGAAGCAGCTGAAGATTATCCACATGGACGGGTATAGTGAGGAGGAGTCCAGGCAGTACAGGGCAGTCGTTTACTCAAACACCATACAGTCCATGGTAAGTGATAGAAACATACTGTCCATAGTAGGCCATAAAACCATGCAGTCCATGGTAAGTGATAGAACCATACTGTCCATAGTAGATCATAGAACCATGTAGTTCATGCCAGACCATCCCGCCTCTTCAAGGTGGGAACGGTTACGGCAAAATGGATGACATCATTCTCCTTCAACCCGCCACCCTAGCAGTTCAATCTTCACACAATGATCAATTTACAACCTATGAACTTTTCAATAACCCACTGAAGGGCTTTTTCGTTTCTTTTTATAAAAAACTGATAAACAAGATTGCATGCTCAAATAATTGAGCCAAAATTTCAGAAAAATTATTTAGTTCCAATTAATTAAGTTCAATTTCACGTTTTAATGGGTTTTTCTGTCTTTAAGCTGGAGCAGATCTATCTAACCGTCAAATTTTTAGGAAACAAAATTTCTCCATAAATTACCATTTCTAGTTCACTGTTCAGTGATTGACATGAAAACATGAATATTAATACCCTCAAAACAAATGTCAATTAGTAAAGATGAGTTAAATTAGTTCACTCAAAACAGTGAGTACGTTCTGTCAGTAGAAAACAAAAAAAAGAATCATAATATCGTAAAAATCAATGACCTTTTATGCAAATTAACCTTTGTATCAGTTAATTTTTTTCTTATATTGAAGTAGAAAACGGCGGTAACTTCATTTAACAGTGATTTTCCTAATACCAATGCGGTTAGGCACTTCTTTTGTCACTTAGATAGAAGTTTTTGTTGCAAGTCCATTATTTTTGCGGAAGCAGCGTGAAAAATCTAAAGGGCAAATTAACTGATAAAGTTCACTGATTTACACAACTGACACGCTTAATTTTTCTGTTTTTTAATGTTACTGAAAAGCCGTTTTAAATGTTAGTGAAGTGCCGTCAATAAAAAATTCATAAGTGGTAAAATGATTTTAAAAATTTAAAAAAAAACGATTCAAATGAAGAATGAAAACATACTAATGAAATCATAGTTCACAGAAGAAAAAAAATTTCTAAATCAGCCGTAAAATTTACAGCCTTTATCGTTTTTATACTAAAATATCCCATTATTTGTGCAAAGCACTATAAAGGAAGCATTATATGTTGTTTTTTCAGGCGACGATGTTGCACTTTTCAAAGTTTTTGAAAAATAATTGTGTTAAATTGAATCGGCAAAAGCCCGCATTGAATTGGATTTGAAGTGATTTTGAAATTCCCCAAGCTGCACATCCCTTTTGTAGGCAGTGACTTCAATTCAAATAACTTTCCTTATTTAGATTTGATAAAATTATTTAAAATGAAGCGTTTTTTTGTCAAGTGGCGATGTTACACTTTCTAAACATTTTGAAAATTAATTGTCGACAGTTACTTGAAAAAAACGTTCAGACTATAAATAACTCATAAAAAATAAAAAAAATACTTAAAAATCAGTGTGTTCTTTTAATTTTTGTCCAGTGAAGATAAATTTAAATAACTCATTATTTGAAAGAAGTACTTAAAAATAAGTGATTATATTATTTTCTGTCAGGTGGCGATGTTGCGAGCGATGGAGACACTGGGGATAGACTACGGGGACCCGAAGCGGGAGGATGATGCTAAGATGGTGTTCGACATAGTGAGCAGGATGGAGGACACCGAGGCATTCACCCAGGAGGTCAAGGACGCCCTGGTCAGACTGTGGACCGACAGTGGAATACAGGTAAGAGCAGCAAGTGTTCAGCTTAGAGACAGTCAAACTAGCCGACTATTTGGTTAAAAAATTCAATTGAACTTCCAAATACTTTCGTTCATCTTGAAGAAAGTCAAACGGGCCGACATGTTGTTTAAAAAACCTAACATTAACTTCCTAAAATATTGTTTTTTTTTTCAACTTCTCCTCAAGTGACGGCATTGTCGTCGAAAAGTTAGTGAAGTCTGTTAGCATTAATATGGTTATAGATTCAAAACTCGCACATGTACATGTAATTTGAAAGATGACTTTTGCAAGCCAGGGAACAAAAGCATAAATAATAAAACCTTCGGGTTAGGCCTATGGCTTACAAAAAGAGAAAAACAAATATCATAAAGAACTGTTCATTGGAAGTTCGCATGCAAGAAAATCAGTCAAAAGGTATCAAAGACCTATTGTACTATAATAATTAACATGTAGTCTTCTTATATAATAAATGAAAGAAAAATAAATGCATTAAAGAATGCCGGTTAAACCGAGTCTCATGGTAAAAAAATAATTTCATAAAGAAATCAACTCCAAAACACCCTTTTTGTTGTTTTTAGGCTTTTCTTGCTGGTGCTTTCCTATAATTTGGTTTACATTTGTGGTCAAAGACACTGAAATTAGCTCTAACAGAAAAAATTTCAGCAAAGCTCACTTTCACGATTTTCCTTTTTCGCCAAAACAATTTATAGCTTATCTTAAAGGTCAACTAAATTTAGTCTAACTTTCGTATATTTTCTATACAATTGCTTTCACGATTCAAACAAGGCATTTCAAAGAGATCAAAAGGACAAATGGAGCAATTTTTATTTTCACCCTTAGGCAGAAAAGAAGGTTGAAAACAATGAAATGTCTGTCGATTTGGAGCTTAGATCGAAAATAGAACTACATATCTAAACGTAGGCGTCTTATGCCATAGCAACTAAGTGAAATTTGATTCCTTTTTGCCCTATTTTTGCAAAGAATACGTCAACTTCAATTAACCGACTTTACAATACAATGAGAGCCATTTGCTACCTTTTAATCAGTCAGTTGTTAATAGCTCAAGATGCTAATAGTACCATTGAGCTTTCCTGTCACTTTAAATTTATGGGAACGGAGACAAATCAACCATTTGAAAAGATTGTTTCCTGCTTTTTGAGAGATCTAATTTTTTTTCAATTTTTGAGAGATGGTAGAAATCACTATTTAAGAAGTCATTTTGGCAATGAGAACAGATAATCGAAGCAAAAAAAAAACATTAGAAGTGAACGAAGTATTGACGTTAAAATTAAGTTGACGTTCAAAATTTGACTTGAGTGAACCAAATTATAGCTTCAGTAATATAAAGACATTACTATGGATTTTAGGTCGCTGATGAGACTTAGCAGACTAGTAACTAACAAACCGAACACGTTAAAGTGAAAATCGAAAAGAAAACGGTAAAAATTTGTTATTTTTTGCTTTCTCGGACCATTCAGCGGGAAAATTTTTTGTCGGCCTCAGTTTCACGCAAGTTCAACTGAGGCCGACAATGTTGAAGATATAGAAATATATAAGTCGAGAGATATATAAATTTCAAGCTCTATCAGTCATGATTTGATCTGCAATAAAAAAAATCCGAAACGTTTTCTAAGTCACTAAAAAGGGAAGTCTGAAAAATTTTCGCTTTTCAGACTTTTCTGTTGAAATAGCAATTGAATGAGCTGCTATTATTTCTAAAGTTCAACACCCATACCATGCTCTTATCCGCAAACACAAGCAAAATAATAGCAAAAAGAGCTTTAGAAACGCATCAAAAATAACAAATTAGGTTTCAAAAAAAATTAAAAGCCGCCTAAGGGTTCGAGTTTCCGAGATACAGGTGAAGACCCTAATCTCTTGACAACTGCGGCATATTCCTTTCATGTATTCCAAACTCCGGTCACCAGTAAAATGGAAAAAAAAACTTTGTTGATTAAACCCTGTAGATGTTCCCGCACCAGGGTTATTAGTTAAAATGTTCATACATGTAGATGATCCTACTATGGTTATTAGATTAGAAAAAATGAAAAAAAAACTATTTTTTAATAAATGGTTTATTTAAATTTTTGAAAAGCATGACTGTGCTTAAATTAGGCAAAAGTTGAGCTAAAAAACTGCTTTCAAAATCATTCTGAAAACATGCGCGTGAAAACTAGTTTGAGAAAGTAAAACTAATTACCAAATCGAGCAGGAAAAGTCCACCCTACGCCATAATCTCTTCACTCTACAAGAGTGCTAGGAGCAAAAAAAACCTTCATGCGCTAGAAAACATTTAGCAAAGCATTTTTCAACTTAGCTGAAATTGAAAATTTTAACGCCAGGTGATTAGAAATAATGGCTTTATTTTACGAGACCGTTTCAAGGATCAGGGTAACACATTAGATTTGGCATTTATCGATCGAGTTTTGCGCTTTCAAAATACGTATTCAAGCTATAAATAGTCTAATTCGGATATATATTCAAGTGACGCAACCTTAATATAGAACTCGAAGTTCGTGGCAACTGAAATAAAAATGACAGCTTTACTAAAAAAAAATGCAAGTAGCACAAAAGAGCAAGTAGCACAAAAGATTCTGCCCACACTAAAGTTCAAAATAATGAAAAAACTAATTGATTTTCATTTTTTGGTCAATTTTCTGCTCGTGGGCAGAAGTACAAAACAAAATGGTGAAATTATAATAACAGTAACTGACTAATTTTTTTGCACAGTGAAAAACGAGAACAAAATAAACTTTAATTTTTCAACTTTTTTGAAAGTTCTTTTTTCAGATAATAGCTTTAACTTTTTTGATACGTCAAATGAAGCTTCAAAATTAGTTTTCACGCCCAAATAGCAGTACATTACTCTTCTCGCTGGCTTCAATTGCTCTAATTTGGTCTACAATAAAAATTTAAAACCGGTTTTCTCGACACTGAGCAAACTTATTAGATTTTTTTTGCCGACCAAATCAAGGCTGTAAAATATGTAGGTCGACCTCAATTTTGCGGGAAAAGTATTACCTAGATAAATGTAACAACTGATAAGTAACACTCAAATACAAACTCGCTTCGCACTTCGTGGACCGAACAATGATCAAAACAAAAAAAAACAGAAATCAACTGAGTTTTCAAGCAAAATGATTAGATGAATCCAGGCTGGCTTCTACACAACACTACACTAATTAAACATAGGGTTAATAGAAGAGTTATATATACAAATAGGGCCTAGGAAATTAGACGAAAAGCAAAATTACAAGTGACTAACAAAAACGAATTTAGACGTCGATGCAAAATTACAAATATGGGAAATTAGACTTCCTTGTATTGTTCGTGTCTGAAATTTTTTTACCGAGTGCAATTAACTTTCGTTCAAGCTTTCTTAAAAGCAAATCAACTTTTCACATGCCGCAATTTTTACATTCCGCATTTTTCACATGCCGCAATTGTATAAATTATGCATTTCAAAAATGTTTTATAATCTTGAAATTAACATTTTATAAATCAATTGTGATAAGTATTTAAATATGCAATGGGATCATATACTAATTTTGAAGAAATGAAAATTTGATTTGGGCAATAAGTTTTGTTAGCCTTTTGCTTTCCGTCTAAAATGCTAGTTATGCGGAAACAATTTAACGTCTAAATTCATTTTTGTTGGTCACGTCTAATTTGCTTATCATCTAATTTCCTAACCCCCATACAAATATGCTTAACAACCCTCATTGTCTTTGCTAACTGATAGTTTTTCATGTAAATGTAATAAAATTTATTCATTTTTGTTTTATACTTTGACTTCTCTAAGATAATTAAGGTTTAGGTAAATCATTCCATCTCCTGGCACATGTTCTTAGCAATCAAAATCTCTGACGAGCAATTTCCATATACTTGTCTAGTAGTCACTCAATTTTTTCAATCTATTGTTTAACGTCAATTTATGTTTTTTGCATGATTTTTTTTCGTTTTCTTCAGTTAAAAGATTGATTTTTCAAGGAACAGATCAAAACTCTTCAGCAAACTAAATTTTGTAATGAATATTTGCGCAGAATTATGTTGTTTTCAAAAGTAGATCACGACATTTTTCAATCATTTTTCTCATGAAGCAAAGTTTTACACCAGGGTTTATTTGACGAATCAAATTATCGACATTTTTCCGGTGTATTCTCCTAAAAAAATATTCCACTATAACTAAACTGGGATCCCATTTGACTTTTTCAAAATTGAAGATTTTTAACGATTGCCAATTTGGGCGAACTGTGTTACGATAGGCTGTATGCCAGTAGCAGACAGAAATCGTTTTATAAAATAAGAAAATTTAGCAAGAATAATCAGAAAAATTTCAAACTGACATCTCAAATTTCTATCTGTTATTGTTCCGGCTTTCGATACGAAAGTAACGGAATATTTGTGCTCGGAGTGGGTTTTTTTTCTTCAGATAAATTTCGACTTTTTAACTAGCCATTTTTGACGGAATTTTTTTCTATTTCATTCGAAAGGTATTGTTGTCCTGAGCTCAAATTTGAAAAGATATTTCACCTTTGATCATTTTTCGTAAAGTTATGGGGGTTTAAAGATTGCCATTTGGCCAATTTGGGACAATTAACGTGCGATATATTTCGCGCTATTAAAGCGTAAGCGGAGAGTTAATCCGTCTTAGAAATAGTTCCAAATTGGTTGAAAGAAGCTTACTTGCCATAATTGATTTTTTACAAGCACCGAAATCTATCCTTATGTGATTTATATAGCGCGTGGGGTGATGATTTTCATGAAAAATAATTTAAATTTTTTATTACATTTAATTTTTTAATGTTATTACTGCTCCATAAACCTTAAAAGGCAGTCGGAACATTCAGGGCTTCGCCCTGATACGAGCAGTCTTGTTTTAATTGACTTTTACAGTCAACTTTCTTAAAACAAAGACGTATTTCAGCGATAGCGTCAAGCGACTGTCTAAGTAACGAATGAGTTTATTAGTATTGAATGTCGATTATTTTTCGATTTATCAA